AAAAAGAATACAAGTTGTTAAGCAAACTTTGGGCATCATCAAACTCTCTCCCTCTCTCTCTCTCTCTCTTTATATATATATATATATATATATATAAGGTTACTAAACTAAGCATTCTGACTTATTTAACGTACAACCGACTATGTTATGGTAAAATGTTACTTACTTAGGTGTGCACATCTGTTATATCATCAAGCTACCAAGAGACTGAAGAATGACCAAAGCCTATTATGTATCATCTAGGCTTTGTAAAGTGTTTAATTTTTTGGGTATCATACTAAGCAATGTTGTGATTAAAATTTTGAGATCATGTCTAAAAAAGTTAGAAACGATCTTATTTTTTTTGGATGAATCTTAAATCGACCTTGTTAGGGATTAACTTAATTAGAAGAAAACGTAAGTTAAATTGACTAGATCATAACGTTTGGTACAATACTAACAAGATATGATATAATACTCAAATATCGTATATTATTTGGTAGGTGACTTTTTTACCCAATAAATTGCTAGTTGACTTTTACCTTTGATAAAATTATTTGGTTTTCTTGAAGTATTTTCCTAGTTTTTAACTTTAATGTCATTAGCATTCTTTATCATCAAGAAAATACGATAAGAATTTGACTATACGATGTTATAAATAGATTTTGTATAAGTTGATTCAATTTTAATATGAAACGATTTAAATTATTCTTACACCCAACACCCCAAGACCCATTATGAGCTCTACCCAATCCACCTTGGATTGGCTAAAACCATAAATAGCATGAACAAGAACAAGAGAAGCTCTAATTATACATGCCTATATATGATTGTGATAAGAGTTAAATCAATTTTAAAACAACACAACTTGAATGACTTAAACATCATATACGACCCATTTGCTGCTCTTCCCGACCCGCCAAGGATTGACAAAAACCATATAATCACATGAACATAGGAAATAAGACCCTAGGATCTGTCGAAGTGGCAACGCCCTCCAGATCTGCACCTCTTGGCGTCAAACTCGACGCCAACAGGTGCACATCAGGGCAAGTGTATTGGAAATTCTAATCCGTCCCATAAAGCCCATTGTTTAAAATGATGGCACTGACTGTTGCACGTTGTAATCCATACATAATCTATTACTTTGGAGTACACATGAGCAATGAACTTTAGCATCGGGCTTTTTTACGGCATTTCATTGGGCGGGAATAACATCANGATCATGGCAAGTGTATTGGAAATTCTAATCCGTCCCATAAAGCCCATTGTTTAAAATGATGGCACCGACTGTTGCACGTTGTAATCCATAATCTATTACTTTGGAGTACACATGAGCAATGAACTTTAGCATCGGGCTTTTTTACGGCATTTCATTGGGCGGGAATAACATCAGGCCCAGCCCATATCCAAGCAGAATCTATTTCAAGCTTTCAGACCTGGTCTTGCCGTATGGTCTATGTGGTTATCACCTGACTCTTTTTGTTTAAGGGTCATTTATATAATTTTCTCCCAAGAGTATTATGGTTTAGGTTTAAATCTTATTTTATGGTAATTATCCGTTCCTTAATTTTNGCAGAGAGCTTCCAGACTTGTTCTACTCCGCCGGTGTTTATGCCGTCCGGGACACCATAACTATGAACTTCTTCGGGTAACAATGTGGGAAACTTCTGTGATATTAATGGCTATTTAGTCTTGTATGATGATATTGACGCCATAACTAAGAACTTTCAATTTAATCGATTTATGTGATTAGCATGTAGTTGTAGATACTTTCGTGTATTCTAGGGATAGGTCAAATGCAGGCCCCTGTCTCGGAGGGATACCTATTCATAAAAAATGGCACTACAAAAAACAGCGTAGTGGGTTATAGAAGAAGAGAAAAAATGGTAGGTTATAACGAGTCTTATACAAACCTAATCCGAGTCTAAATTCAAGGTCCGAAAAACTCAACTCAATTATCAGTGCTGAGTCTAAATCCAAAACAAATCAAACTTATTCATGTAATCCAAACCTAACTTAAATGAGTGTGAAAAGTTTCTCTCTCAAAAATACCCTAATTCTGGTTGGATATGATCATGTAATCCAACTATTCATTTAGTCTATTTTTATTGTTGCATCAATGATACTTATAATTAATTCAATAATAATATCGCTTCAAAAATAAATAAATTGACACAAAATTAATTCATGGACTTAATTGACACAAGAGTCATTTATTTTTGTCATAATTTGAGTTTAATTTATTTTACCTAAAATGCCCTTGTCTTATTGTCTATGTGGTTATCACCTGACTCTTTTTGTTTATGGGTCATTTATATAATTTTCTCCCAAGAGTATTATGGTTTAGGTTTAAATCTTATTTTATGGTAATTATCCGTTCCTTAATTTTAGCTTTGCGAAGCCCAAAATCCAAAGAAGCCAATGTCAAGTCAACCATCCAAAAAATCTGGATATCAAATCAAACTAAACAAGAGACTAGAGAGAGAAAACAAACCTATAATTTTGTTGGCCTGAGTTTCTCTTCCTTCAAATTCAACCTCTCGCATTTCCAAGAATCAAGGATATCCTCTCTTTCTTTGTTTTCACTTCCTATGTCTCTCTCATTCATTCTCTTTACCCTTCCCTACCCCCCACTCCTCTGCCTTCTCCATTCTCACTTTCATATTTTCCCGAGGCTCCTACCCACGTTGTAGACAACATGGTATGTCATCTCTCTCTCTCTCTCTCTCTCTCTCTCTCTCTCTCTGTTATCATGGATGAAATTGATACAGAGCATTATGAAAAAAACAATTGGACCATCTTCTTGAAAATCAGAGAAATGTTAGAAAGAGGAAATGCACAAGTTTTTTTTTTTTGTGTAAATCAATTGTCAATTGACAAATAACTAACAGAATCTCCATTGTTTTTGTCATTTTAGTTGGTGCTTGTCTGTTAGTACCCACAAGCGAGCTCTGCTGGGATAAGATGGGACCCGAATTTGACTCATGTCTAAACGAGTCGTGTTTGAAAATTTTTTTAGATTCATTTAAAATATGAGCCTAAAAGGGTTCGGTTCGAATTTATAAAAGTTAACTAATTTATATGTAAAATAGTCGGGTTTGGCTTATTTTGAGCTCAACTTATTTTTCAAAAGAACCGAGCTTAAACAGCTTGGTCGACNTAGATTCATTTAAAATATGAGCCTAAAAGGGTTCGGTTCAAATTTATAAAAATTGACTAATTTATATGTAAAATAGTCGGGTTTGACTTATTTTGAGCTCAACTTATTTTTCAAAAGAACCGAGCTTAAACAGCTTGGTCGACAAGTTCAACTTGATTATCGATCCTAGTGCTCGTGAAAGTTTGCCTTTTTTAATGTAAATTTTAAAGGAGTATGCTTGTTAGTCATTCAACAAGATCATCAGACTTCATTGGAGTTCAACATAAACTTAGCTGTGGGATATCGTTTGACCATGTCTTTGTCCCCTGTCCAATGGTTCGACCACCATTAAAGCCTTCTTTGTTTTTTGAAACTGACCACCATTATAAGCCCAAAAGAACTGGTTCTTGTTTTAAGAGTTCAGAGGAGCATGCAGCTGAGACAATTTTTTTCTTCCAATGTATATTTCATTCCCTTTTCATGCTGCAAAATGTTGTGTTAGGCGAATTCGGCATCTGGAATGGCTGTGGATGATAAGTGTAAGCTGAAGTTCTTGGAACTGAAAGCAAAGAGGAACTACCGTTTCATTGTGTTCAAGATTGAGGAAAAGATGCAACAGGTGACAATTGAGAAGCTTGGACAACCCGAAGAAAGCTACGATGATTTTACCGCTAGCTTGCCTGCTAATGAGTGTCGATATGCTGTCTATGATTTCGATTTCACTACCAATGAGAATTGCCAGAAAAGCAAAATATTTTTTATAGCATGGCAAGTTTTAAATTGACGCATAAAGATATTTCATCTGCAGGATGAATGGCATTGCATCATTGACAATGTAAGTGCTCTGTTTTTCTGTGTAGGTCTCCTGATACATCAAGGGTGAGGAGTAAGATGCTATATGCTAGTTCAAAGGATAGATTCAAGAGAGAACTCGATGGCATTCAGGTTGAACTACAAGCAACAGATCCAAGTGAGATGAGCCTTGACATTGTAAAAGCGCGAGCCATATAAGCTCAGTTTTTCTGCTTCAATCACCAGACATTGCTGCATTTTGGGGGCCTTTTCCTATCTCTTGTAGAACTTGATTTGAATCTAAACCAAGTGGGTTGCAATACCATTATGCAATTTTGTGACCTTGGCCCTTCTTGAGGACCAAAAAACCTTCACCATATCGTTCATCCCAAATCTTTTCTGCTGTATTCATGACTCTGATCTTAGATGTTTGTTTCCCTTCTGGCTTTTGCAACTTGGTTCTAGTACCAAGTGGAATTTTATGCCCTTAGCAATTCTTATTTGTATTTTAGAGGCCTCTTGAGCCTCATGCCACTGGCTAGTAATAGTTCTCTGTCACATTTATTCCACATACTTGGCAATAATAAGCTTTTTTTCACCCTATCTTCTTGCATCAAACTTAAAAACTTGACAAAAAGTGGACCAGCGTAAACAACGGGTTACAAGATCTCCATTCACTATTTAGTAATTTCACATCTTTACTGATCGACAGAGGGTATACAAAGAAATGAGGATTTTCCATGAATGGAAACTCAATGTTCCTTTCAACATGGGAGTATTTACAGAAACTCACAGATGATAGAAAGGGGGAANGCTTGGCAATAATAAGCTTTTTTTCACCCTATCTTCTTGCATCAAACTTAAAAACTTGACAAAAAGTGGACCAGAGTAAACAACGGGTTACAAGATCTCCATTCACTATTTAGTAATTTCACATCTTTACTGATCGACAGAGGGTATACAAAGAAACGAGGATTTTCCATGAATGGAAACTCGATGTTCCTTTCAACATGGGAGTATTTACAGAAACTCACAGATGATAGAAAGGGGGAAGAAAGGAAGAAGGAAGAAGAGTATTAAAATTGTATATTTCTGATTTATGGTGTGTTAGCTTTGACTTGGTCACAATGAAAGAGCAAGCTCGGCCCATGCCAAAGATGATGCCTTGAGCTCAGCAGAAACAGATGTGTCAATTCTGCTCTCCAGCATGGTGCACAACTCCTCCATGGATACTCGGTTATTAGGACTCGGATAAATGCAGAGTGTTACTGCCTCACATATCACTTTGAGCTCATCGTATTTAAAATGTTTCAACTCAGGATCCACAACATAAGACATTACTTCTGGCAGTTCAAGATATTCCTTAGCCTGCAGCAGAGGGAGAACATTCATGTTCCAATGCATCCTTAATATTCATTTCAGGAATTCAAAATTGTTAGTCCCTTAAAAGTTAGAAATATCATGGAAAAAATCCACATATAGGCAAAATGTTGTAACTAATCTAAGAACATACCCAATCTACCAAGCACCCTTTGTCCTTGCAGTATCGAGGTCTCCCGCTGATTATTTCCAGAAGAAGTACACCGAAAGCATAAATGTTCTCTTGGACATCTAGATGACGTCCCTGTAGAGAATTTGCAAGAATACAAAGAGCACCTTCATTGCTGATAGCGCCAGAGTTCTGTTCTGGTCTTGAAAGAATTGTTTTCCAACTTTCGAAATCAACTAGCTGCAGCAAATAATCAAGGATCACATTTACAAAAAGACAGAAAATGGGAAAAATATAGATTTTGTAAAGGGGTGCCACATTTCCTTGAGGATATCTCCAGAGTTGATGCTTCAAGAACAAGAGGGAACATAGCTTTAATCTCTCTTTTTTTCAAGGTTCACATTGATTCTTTTTATTGGAGGTTAGATGAAACCAACCTAGTTTCTTAATATCACCACAAATCTAAACTTGTTCTTTCTATAGCATAGGTGAGTTAGGTACTAGCAGACTCTTTCTACACAACTGATAGGGATCCGAAGTCTAGACAACAACGTCTTACTTCTGCAGATATAGCTTCAATTCTTCCGCAAAGTCTATATGGTATCAGTACAAAGCTTTGGGCATACCTTTGGAGAAAAATCTTCTGTAAGGTATACAGCACTCGAATTCAAGTCAGATATCGTAAAAGGAGGCTCAAACTCAGAGTGAAGATATCTTAGACCCCTGGCAATGCCTAAAACAATTTTCATTCGACGTGTCCAGGATAATTGGCATCCTTCTCCATCTACAAGTCAATAGAAAGCTCAGGTGTCAATCACCGGAACATGTTTAAACTGTAATAAACAGAAGCTTTACAGTCTGTGCAGTGCTCAAAAGTCATAAACTGCAATAAATAGAACCTTTACTTACAGTGGAGGTGCTCATACAATGTCCCATTTGATGCATAATCAAACACCAGCATCCTTGTAAAAGGACTGCTCTCTCTACAATAGCCTATTAATTTTCCTGTGTTCTCATGATTTAATCTTGCCAAATCTGCAACCTGAATCATGCAATAGCTAAAAAACGTTAAAGCTCGGCTGTAACACACGTCCAAGTTTTACATTTTTACATATTGGGTATATCTTGAATTTTAATCAGGATCTACCTCTCTCTGAAAATAGAGTTCAAGATAGCCTGTCCAATGCTCTTCTTTGATGCAAAGGGATATCACAGCAATCTCAGGCCCACCTTTCATGGTGCCTTTGTAGACTAAACTGTCTGGAGACGACCCAATGATGTTGCTGAAATCTTCACAGGCTACTTCAAGTTCTTGTCTGCTGAATCTCACTACATCCTTCAACAATTCCATATCTGTAAGGTAACCCCACCAAATAAATATTATCAGCATTGAGAATAACACTTCTGAAATTGAAAATGCAGATTAGCAGATATCGTTGAGCCCAACCTATACAAAATGCCATGTGGTCCTTCTCACTCGCTGATTTCTTCCATGGAATAATAATAGAAGGTTTCTTTTTGCATTTCTGAAGAGTAGTGAGAAGCGCCACAAGAAAGAGAGAACCCACCATAACTCCTGTGACTATTTCCAGGGCTAAAAGCCAGGCAGGTTTTGAAGCAGCCTCATGTTTGGATCGATCTTCAACAGGCCGGTGTTTTACTTCGACTCCAGGATGGCTTTTGGCAGGTGGAGCATTACCTGTAACAAAATGTTGTCAATGCTTGCCAAAATGTTCAAACCTTGATGACTCTAGGTTGCATCCAATCTTAGTGTTAGAACAATATCTTAGAAGTTCGATGGAATCATAATTTTAGGCAACAACACAACTCAGGTCAGCCACTTTAGAAATACCAGGTCAAATATTTATCATCATCTCATCAAAAAAGTTGGTCCATTCACTCAAAGTTAGGCATATATGTATTTAAAAGCTTACCAGCTTTGGATTTTCAGGAGTAAAGCCTTCTATTTACTTATTTCATGTTCGGAAATTTCAAGAACGTGCATCTATTTTGTAGGCAGCTTAGAAGCTAGACATAACCTAAAGGAAGTTAATGCCAACGTACCACATTGAATAGTAGGGCGTTGTTTGGGATCTCCGTCTTGAAGGCAGTTCCCTTGAAAGCTTGAGCTGCACAGAAAATAAAGAAATTAAGCCAAGAAGATCTGCAGACAAAATAATAAGCCAGCACAAGAAACATATAAAATACCTCGGAAGATACCCCAAGCACTTGGGTATGCTCCCGGTAAGAAAGTTGTATGAGAAATCTGCAATTTTTAGTTGAGATGAGCGACAGAAGCCTGTTGGGTTCCCACTTGAGACATACCTGAAGCAGAAGTAATAGATTATAAGAAAAGTCAAATGTGCGACACAACATCATCTACGACCATTTGACTGGAACAAAACAAAGGGTCAAGAAATCCATGTCTTTGACTATAATTGGGCATTCCAAAAATTATTGTTTGCGAGTTACTGCATGCATCCATAGGGATTAGTGTTGACCAAAAATGGCCAGCCAGGACAACGCGAAAAGAATAATGGACAAAGCAAGTTCTGAATTAGCAAGAAGCACAATTTTACCCTAAATAAAAGCTTATATTTCTGTGCACTCTCTTCATATAGCATAATAATGGTGCAAAAGTCGCCATTACGAAATATATGGTACCATCGCCTGAAGAATATTTAAGTAATAGACAACACTGGATTCCTAATATAATGAGCAACATTGTTCAAAGACTAGGTTACATATTTGAGAGTGTGTCAATAATGTACCCTTTTTTGTTCGTTGGTAGTGCCGGAGCAAAGTTCTACACAGGTATATCTAAAAATATGTCAATTCAAAAGATCTAGAACATTCTCAGCAATCTTCTCTCACCCTGGCATTATGTGTGATCTGTCCAACAAGTATGCTCTGGCATGAGACAGAGAGATCCCTGTAGACAGATCTAACACTATGCAGGCAAATCATTAACTTTTTTTGCAACGCCTATACTTGACATACGTAGTATATGTGCTTCCTGTAGGTTTCTTATCATCCAATTCACAAATAATAAGGATCAGCTCATCACATTATATATGAGATAACATAATGGCCAGACGAAGGAACAGAAATGTATACCCATCAGTGTTTTATGCTCAGATATAATGTTCAAAGGAATATCTCTTCAATGAGTGATTTTTCAGGTAAAAATGCGGCAAGTGACCGCACAAGATAAATACAACAGCAAAAGCAGCAATTCCTTGTGCTCAACCAGCATCAAGTAGGAATAAAGGATAATAATTCTAAATAAAACACTTCCTGCATAAGAATGTTTTACTTACAGCCCTTGCAGCTTGGGCGCATAGTCCGAGCCATTACTTCCAGGGACAGCTCCTTGAAGCTTATTTCGATCCAGCAGAAGTTCCTTGAGGTATTTCAAATTGCCAAGCTCAGCTGGCAATCTCCCAGTCAACCCGTTTGATTGAAGGTTTCTGCGAAAACACAAGAAAATTGACAAGTTAAGAGCAAGCAAGGAGTACCAAGCGTCAAAGTCCAATTTAAAAACCCCATCATTGGACACTAATATTTCACTTACATTTTCACAATGCTGGTCAAATTCCCAAGCTCAGCAGGAATAGGTCCTGATAGCCGGTTCATGCCCAAATCCAAGAGCTTGAGGTTTTTCAGCATGCCAATTTCTTTAGGTATTACACCAATCAGATAATTCCCATGAAGATTTCTATAGAACATCAGTATCTTGGATCAAACTTTGATTATTTTGGACAATTTTTTTCAGAATTTAATGTCCTGTATTGCAATAGGAACTCAAAGACGGATTTTGAGTATGATGTGGGAAGAAATCTTACAGTTCTTGCAGGGAAGTGAGTATAGACAGTTCAGGTGCAAGAAAACCCTTCAAAGACGCCCCAGAAATGTTACTGCAAAACAGAGTTCCACCATCAAATCTCAACTATTACAATGCTTCTAATTGCTAATTAAACCCAAGCATTTATACCTGAAAAGGAAATGAAATAGAAAAAGTAATTCTTACATTTTTACCACAAAATCTCCAGCAAAGGAACAGGAAATTCCAGACCACTCACAAGGATCTGCATCTAGGGCATTCCAATTTGACAAAACCAGAAATGGGTCTTCATATATAGCTTCCTTGAAGGTAGAGAGAGCATAAACTGATAAACACCAAGAGTTCCCAGTGAGTAAAGTCCTTCTGAACTACGTTTTTTTTTCTACCCACCATATAAATACAGAGTTCCAAGATGTTCCCAGAAAATGGCTTAATCATTTCCTATATTGATCTGAATACTACAATTACTATCAAATTCAAGTTAAAAGAGTCTAATAAACAGATTCTTGCAGAGCAACTAAATCAAGATCTGTAAAACATTAAAAGGTAGATAGACAACACATACCTTCATTGGATGCAAAGGCATCACAAGCTACAAGGAAGAGTCCCAAACTAACCAATACAACTTGAAATGAACTGAATGGTCTCATTTTATCGGCAAAGGTCGACAATGTCTCGTGAACACTAGTGCTTTTACACAAACCCAGAATCCAAAGAACCCATCAAACAACAGTCACGCAAGAAAACAAAAGGGGGAAAAGAAACCCAGAAAAGGAAAAGAGTAAAGAAAAAGAACCAAGTAAGTAGGAGAAAAGGGTTTATCAAGAAAGAGGAAAAGAAATTAGAAACAACGAAAAGTACTATTGTGGGTTTATCAAGCAGAACATGAAGAAATCTTAAGAAAAAATATTGCTTTTTCAAGAAACAAAAAACTAAAGCCAGCTTAGTGGTAAATTTGCGAACTAGCAACAAACCATGAAAGCAAATCACTGGAAATGAGAGTGAGAGAGTGAAGTAGAAAGACCCACTAACGTAAACTTAGATTCAAAGAGAGGTTTATTGCCAGAAGAAGAAACAGAGAGAGAAGAAATGCATTAAACTGATCGGAGAGATAATAAATTCCTATGCAACAGAGAGGAACAAGCAGAGAGAGATCTGCGTTTTGGAATGTTTACTTTGTGTTTGATATCAAAAATATTTTTTTTCTTCTGATTAACAGCTAAAATCTTTACTGCTAATGATTGTTCTAACTTCTAACCGGGGCCGAGTTGCTGAAATTCACTCATCTCGAGATATGCAAAATAGAGACATAGATCTGCTCTAATATATATATTTTTAATTATTTTTGACAGATTATTCATAATTAATGAAAAAAGGATTTATTTGTATATAATGAATTATACTTTTCTGACCAAAAAAAAATAAAATTATACTTGAATATACAGCAAGAAGAAAATTAAAGATAAAATATATTGGATGACTACCTCAACTATTTTTCACCTTTTTTTTTGCCTTTTTCTTTTATTGTCACTTACTATGAGAAAATTGTACATTTATTATTTTTCTAATTTAATGCAAAAAAATATGATCCAAGTCCAATGATATATTTTTTACCCATATGACCTATATTTGCCGAAGTTACTACTATTCTATTTGCTTTCCCAAAGCATATTTTTTCTAAATACTTTCATATTTTTCGATACTTGACTACGGTGTTGAAAAAAAAAAATCAATCTCGTACCTCTAAATTTCATTACTTTAATGAGTGTTTTTATAATTTTTGTGAATTATTTTACAAGAAACAAAATTTAACTTTTTGTGGGCGATTTAATATTTTTGTAGGTATTTTTATCACTTTTATATTAATTATTATTATCATTTTTGTGATACTTGCGATTGATCATAATATCTGATATTAATAATAAAAATACTCATAAGAGTAATAAAAATACATATAAAAGTGATAAATAACAATTTAGTACTGGAATTTTTTTCTCGGATATTGTAGACATGCCTTATATTTTTGACGAATTTAATATTTGACATTAATATCTGTAATTACAAAAGGTATTTTCATTTTTCCTTTCAAGTAGCTTTAAGTCACCTTTAACTTGAAATTCCTTCATTAACTCCCAAGTAATAAATCCCATGGTGGTCTTTTTGGACCAACTGGCTTCCATTTAAGTTTTAAGTGCTAATAACAAACATATTTTTTTGACTAAATACATGGAGACCCCTTACAAGTTGCAACAATGACATGAAGACCATAATTTTTTTTTTGTATATTGTACCAAAAACATAACTTCGAATTGAAATTGGTGAAATTAATAATTTTATAATAAAAAAATCTTATGCTCCGTTTGGTATGACGAAAAAATAAAAAAATAAAAAATTTGAAGGATGAAAAGTTGGAGGAATAAATTAAATATCATGTTTGGTAAAAAAAAAAAATAGGAAGGATGGAAAAGTGGATGAATTAATTTTTCTTCCAACTCATCAAAATCAATCCCTACAGAATCAGAAGGAAAGTGGATGAAAAGTTAATTATTTGTATTGAAATGTATCTTATTTATTTGTATATATCTTTTTATATATACATATATTATGTACACATTAATTTCATATAAAAATACAATGATAAAATATGTATATATATATATATATATATATATTTTAAGAAATTTTAAAAATCAATTTTGGGTAAGAACGCCAAAGGAAAAAAAAACAACCAAGAAAAAAAATTGTTTTTAATTTTGGTGGAAAAAAAAAGACCACGAGGTTCGAAAATCCTAAATATAAATTTAAAGCAATACCATAAAGAATTTATCAAAAAACTTAATTTAATACAGTTGTTAAATTAATTATAAGTTTTACTATTAGATAGATCTCACTTGTAATTTATAATTGTAATTAAGTCTTTATATTTAGTTTCCAAATTAAACTCAAATAACATTTTATATAAATNAGAAATGCATTAAACTGATCGGAGAGATAATAAATTCCTATGCAACAGAGAGGAACAAGCAGAGAGAGATCTGCGTTTTGGAATGTTTACTTTGTGTTTGATATCAAAAATATTTTTTTTCTTCTGATTAACAGCTAAAATCTTTACTGCTAATGATTGTTCTAACTTCTAACCGGGGCCGAGTTGCTGAAATTCACTCATCTCGAGATATGCAAAATAGAGACATAGATCTGCTCTAATATATATATTTTTAATTATTTTTGACAGATTATTCATAATTAATGAAAAAAGGATTTATTTGTATATAATGAATTATACTTTTCTGACCAAAAAAAAATAAAATTATACTTGAATATACAGCAAGAAGAAAATTAAAGATAAAATATATTGGATGACTACCTCAACTATTTTTCACCTTTTTTTTTGCCTTTTTCTTTTATTGTCACTTACTATGAGAAAATTGTACATTTATTATTTTTCTAATTTAATGCAAAAAAATATGATCCAAGTCCAATGATATATTTTTTACCCATATGACCTATATTTGCCGAAGTTACTACTATTCTATTTGCTTTCCCAAAGCATATTTTTTCTAAATACTTTCATATTTTTCGATACTTGACTACGGTGTTGAAAAAAAAAAATCAATCTCGTACCTCTAAATTTCATTACTTTAATGAGTGTTTTTATAATTTTTGTGAATTATTTTACAAGAAACAAAATTTAACTTTTTGTGGGCGATTTAATATTTTTGTAGGTATTTTTATCACTTTTATATTAATTATTATTATCATTTTTGTGATACTTGCGATTGATCATAATATCTGATATTAATAATAAAAATACTCATAAGAGTAATAAAAATACATATAAAAGTGATAAATAACAATTTAGTACTGGAATTTTTTTCTCGGATATTGTAGACATGCCTTATATTTTTGACGAATTTAATATTTGACATTAATATCTGTAATTACAAAAGGTATTTTCATTTTTCCTTTCAAGTAGCTTTAAGTCACCTTTAACTTGAAATTCCTTCATTAACTCCCAAGTAATAAATCCCATGGTGGTCTTTTTGGACCAACTGGCTTCCATTTAAGTTTTAAGTGCTAATAACAAACATATTTTTTTGACTAAATACATGGAGACCCCTTACAAGTTGCAACAATGACATGAAGACCATAATTTTTTTTTTGTATATTGTACCAAAAACATAACTTCGAATTGAAATTGGTGAAATTAATAATTTTATAATAAAAAAATCTTATGCTCCGTTTGGTATGACGGAAAAATAAAAAAATAAAAAATTTGAAGGATGAAAAGTTGGAGGAATAAATTAAATATCATGTTTGGTAAAAAAAAAAAATAGGAAGGATGGAAAAGTGGATGAATTAATTTTTCTTCCAACTCATCAAAATCAATCCCTACAGAATCAGAAGGAAAGTGGATGAAAAGTTAATTATTTGTATTGAAATGTATCTTATTTATTTGTATATATCTTTTTATATATACATATATTATGTACACATTAATTTCATATAAAAATACAATGATAAAATATGTATATATATATATATATATATATATTTTAAGAAATTTTAAAAATCAATTTTGGGTAAGAACGCCAAAGGAAAAAAAAACAACCAAGAAAAAAAATTGTTTTTAATTTTGGTGGAAAAAAAAAGACCACGAGGTTCGAAAATCCTAAATATAAATTTAAAGCAATACCATAAAGAATTTATCAAAAAACTTAATTTAATACAGTTGTTAAATTAATTATAAGTTTTACTATTAGATAGATCTCACTTGTAATTTATAATTGTAATTAAGTCTTTATATTTAGTTTCCAAATTAAACTCAAATAACATTTTATATAAATTTATTGTGGTAAAAGTGTAATTTCGATTATGAACTTCTCCGACTCATTAGCCAGTAACCATGTGCCTAATTCTCGGCGCAGGATAGAAACGCGACACGATACAATAGTTGTGTAACTCGTCCGGATTTATAATCATCAAAATATCACGAGATGCTACTTAAAAAGTGAAAACGACAAAAAAAAAGATGCAGACAGCTGTAAATTAAGGATTAGGTTTAAGAGAGTGAGGTGATTAGTTATGACTTTATGACGCCCAATTAACCCTTTGATTAGACCTTACTTTGTTTTTCCACATTACGCCCTTCCCCCCCCCCCCCCCCCCCCCTCC